TCCAATGCAACTGTGACATTTGACTTCCACCCGGTCACAATGTGCTGTTTCTCTTGGCCACCACTAGATCCATGCACGATTCCTCAAATATCTGGACTTGCTCCTGTCATGTAATTTGACTGCTCATTAATTGTTCAATGACTAATAAGCACCCATTCCATGTCAGGCACTGTAGTAAGTTCTAGGGCGTAGGAATGAACAGGCTGGTGGGATCCAGGCTCTTAGGGAGACTGCAAACCTGAAGGGAAGATTTCCTCTGTAGCTCTCAGAGGCTTCAATCCTTACCGAATGTCAAAGGAGAGTTTAACGGAGAGACCAGTGCTGGCCGGAGGCCTCAGAGAAGGTGAGCTAATGGAAGTGCCTCTACGCTACAACATGAAAGATGAGTACAAGCAGCCAGGGGAAGAGGTAATGCTTGGGGGAAGGTTTGTACAAAGGCACGTGTGTGCTGGGATGGGAGAACAGAAGACTAGGACGGCTGTAGTGAAAACAGCAAGCAAATGGGGTAATTAGGAGGCCTAGGGATGGCTTCACACAAGGGCGGAAGGGTCGGGGGAGGGAAAGGAGGCAAGGATGATGTTTGGGCGGGAAAGATGTCGAGTCCAGCTTTAGGGACATTGAATTGGAGGCACCTGGGAGACAGCCCAGTGGAAACAGGAACGTGGGTATGGATGTGTAAGGCTTACTCAGGAAGGATGTACAGGCCAGGATACAAACCTGGGGATCTTGGCCCAAGATTGTAACTGGAGCCAAGAGATGGATGAGCCTGCTCTGAGAGGGTGTATAATGAAAGCCAGCACCCTGAGGAGCCCAACACTGAACGCTCGAGTGGAATGTGTGTGTAGAAGTCAAGGGAAGAGAGGAATCTAGCCCAGCAGCCCGGGTGGAATGGGGCATAGAATCAGCACTTTCAATAAGCGCTTTTAATAAGTGGGCAGATCCCCTTGGAGAAACTCTCATTCAGATTTGCGTATAAGCTTAGATCACTGCAGATCTTTAATTAATGTCTATTGAACGAACTTGTTTTTTAATTAATATATATTGGGGAATCTTTCTCTATCAACGCATATAGATCTTGCTCCTTTCCTTCTTTTTAATGACTGCATAGTACTCCATCAAATGGACAAACCAGCATTGATCTAAGCTATTGTTGATGGACATTTAACCTATTGCCTTTTTTCTTTTCCTTTGTTTTTCCTATTATAAACTACATAACAATGCACATCTGCCTATTCTTCTACGAGGTTGCCTTCTTTTTCTCATTTGTGTGAGAGCTCTCTGTAGATAGCCCTTTGTCATATGTACAGTAAGTATTTTCCTTAGTTTTCTGTCTTTTGAGTTTACAGTGTCTTTTTTAACCTTACATTAGTTTGTTTGTTTGGGTTTTTTTTAACATTTATATAGCCAAAGGTATTCATCTTTTCCTTTGTGACTTCTTACGTTTATGGCACTTAAAAAGGCCACCTGCCCCCTAACATCACCTGAGTCTTTAAACAATCAAGGGCTGTACATTCTGTCAGTCCCTCTGGATCAAGGGCACCTCTGCCACTTGGACAGATGGGTCGGTTCTGTACAGGGGAGTGAAAGGACACAGAGTAGGCTTACCTGGCTGTGCAGGGTCACCACACAACCTATTAGTAGCCAGTATCTGCGTTGTCGACTACAGTAACACTTTGACAAGGCATTCATATACAGTATTTTATTCGATAGGAACATAATCAATGAACTACCCAGGGACATTACTGGTATTCCCCATAGATGAACATCTGCCTTTGTACCTAACACCTGGTTATTTCAGGGATTGAGGGCAACAGAAAATGAGAATCACAATCCTAAAGAGGCACAAATCCCATGATTCCACTTCCAGGAACTTATCCTAAATAACAATTGGACAAGTGGAGGACAGGGTATGAACAGAGATGATTATTTCCTAGTTGTAAAAATTGTGAACCACGTAGATATCCAATAGGGATTGACAAGCTGTGTGGAAGCAGGAGGGCTGACCAGGGCAGAGCAGGGCCCTGTGACTGTGCGGTCGCCAGCCCAGCTCCACTCCCTGTCAGCTGGGTGACCTGAGCAGGTTACCCAACCTCTCCGTGCCTCAGGTTCCTCATCTGTAAACCACCCCACTGGCTCACTGTGGGGACTGAGTCAACACACGTAAAGTGCTTAAACCGTATCTGGCACATAAATTACAACAAATAAGTGTCTGCTGTTAATACATTAATGGAACACTAAGCGTTAAAAATTATTACACAGGAGGAAGTTTATTGACTTGCCCAGATTTTCATTGTACAGTTTTCTTAAAAAGCAGGTTACCAACTCATGCGTATAATTGTACACTTGGTTATCTGTGTATGTGTATGCGTGTGTGGACAAAAACGTCCAGATCCATAAAAAACACAATATTAACAATCAGGGCAGCAATGTGGGTGCTTTTCTTAGCTACATTTTCCTGAGTTTTCTGTCACAAGCACATCTGATTGTAAACCCAAAGAAAGGAAGTGACATTCTACTTCTGCATCAAGGTAGGGCTTAATTTTTGTTTTCTTAACCACAGAGATAAACTGGACTAGTGATTTAAAGCTCAGGCCTCACGTTTGAACTAGGCCCTGCCCCGCAGTGGGACCGTGATGGAGCTGTGCGTTGAAAATCACTGGGCTTTTGGGTGGGTTGGTTGGTTGGTTGGTTGGTTGGTTGATCTGTGTTTTGAGGAAGGAGGGAGGGGAGATGAGGTCAAAATCGAAGGAGGAATTGGCAACTAATTGGGTGGCAGTGAGTAGGGGTGACGGACAGAGAAGCAGCCAATCAAAATGGCTGATGTTGTAGCAGGATGACTCCAGGAACTGTTGCTTTAACTGAAACGAGGCCCTGAGAGGAGGGGTCAAGGGGCCAAGGGAAGGGAGCGTGGGCCCAGGCGCGTGCGCCCTGAGTCTGAGGTGCAGTCTTGGACCTGCTGGTGGAGAAGCGCAAGAGCCAGTGCACAGTTATAACCACTATCGCGCCTTCATCGTGAGTTTGCAAGAAGGCTGCCTGGGGACCCTTCAAGCTTCCTGTGAACTCACAAAAGTAACACAGCATCGGTTCTGAGCTAAGAAGATTGCTCAGTAACCTCAAGAGGACTGGAAAGTGATTGGCACTTGCAATGAATACTAATGTCAGGTACAGTGCAAAACGGAGACCAATCCAGGAACTTAGGGAGAACGTAATACGATGTCACAGCATCATAAGTTGCAATATCCATTCATCCTTTGGGGATCCACTGTGGTGACAATGTCAAATACACTTACGAGAGTTGTTTAAGAGTTCCAAGTAGTCCACCCATATACCCAAACTCATACTGAAAGAGATTGGTGAATGTTCCAGAGTGACATCAGTTACAGCTACACCTGGCCCTGCTGGGCCTAGGTCAGCAGACTCACCATGTGGTGGAGCCTTGTGATCGTTGTATACCGGATAAGCATCTCCACTGATACATGGCAACCCACTCTTCCCAAGGTCAGGCATTTGTGTTAAACGGCCCAAGGCCGCCTACAATTCCTGAGCCCAGGATATGCAGAACAGCTCCCCTTCACCAGCCACATCCTGCGGGTGTCAGAACCCAGAGATGGGAATTACGGACACCTTCGGACCCACCAGGCACCAGTGCAGAGGGGAATGAAAACATGCTTCCAGAAGGCTGAGGAGGAGTAGGCCTAACCCTGGGAGCTGGGACAATGTGTTAAGACGGAGAATGATGGTCTAAAGCAGTCGGGCTACTGTTTCAACTGCAAGATGAAGTCTTCTATCAAAGCAACATAACGCAGTGTTCAGAACACGTGCTCTGGACAAGGTTGGCCTGCTTTTAACTGCAGTTCTGCTACCCGTTAGCTGTGGGACTTTGGGCACACTCTTCAGCCTCCCTGTGCCCCGGTCTGCGGCTCTGTAACATAAAGATAACCGTTCCTACAAATCCTGGACTGTGGTGAGGACCACTGAGCTGACTCATGAGAATGGCCTCTGGGAAGGGCTCAGCGAGCCATACTCGCCACAGGCGCCCTTGGCAGCACTAACAGTTACGGCAGTTAGAGGCAGGAAAACCAACCCCGGAGGGAACCGCTGCCTCCAGGACCTACTGGACTAGGGGCATCTTCTCATCTAGAAGAAATCGTGTCCCAGGGATGGGCGTTCTTTTCGGGAGCAGTTTTGGAAAGAAGAGAACTGCCAACAAAGAGGGAGCAACTTCCTAAGGGGCCTGGTCCCCAACTCCCAGCAAATGAGACTCCTTTGGGGAGCAACAGCAGACACCAGCTCCCCGACTCCAGACGAAGGGGGTCAGCGATCGCTGCAGGCTGGGCTCTGCCGCTCCCTTCACTGAACAATGCCTGCGCCTCCCGTGACACAGGAGCACACACCACACTACACTGTTCCACACCGATGAGACCCAAGTCCTTAGAGAGGTCTCAGATCTAAGCGGGTCCAGAATGGCCGGGGAAGCAAATTCACAACACAGGGTCCCGTGCCCCAGCCTAAATCCCCTGACTCCACAGGGCTGAACGGCACCCACCTTTCCAACAAACGAGTCCAGGTCATTCTGATGCAGGCGGTCTGCAGATGACCCCTGAGAAACGCTGCACCAGGGCCTGTGACTCGGCGCACAGCCCAGAGACCACAGAGAGCATCGCCCGAGCTGACGAGAAATGCAGGCTCGCCCGGACCTGCTGAGTCAGAAGGTGCCGGGGATCAGAACCCCCGCAATCTGCCCGCACGCTGCAGGTGGCACACACGGCCCTGGGGCTTTCGTCAACAGGGTCAATAGATCCTCCTTCTTCTGTACTTGTCACATCCACTGTGACACAGGTCACAGGGAAACCAGGTCTCCGCATTCTGCTTTAGCTTTTCCTGCCTAAATGCCTGGAGAACAAATTTTATGAATATTACTCACACTCTGGGGAAGTAATAATTGACTGTTTACAAGACACACTGTACTGTAAAAATGTTATAAAAATAACTACAGAGAATAAGTCATATAAATACTTAGACTTTATTATACGTTTAGGCCTAACTGAAACCTATGTAAACACAGTTACAGTAAACACATTGTGTATGCACTATACTTGAAAATATAAAACCAATTTAAAGTAATTCTCATATTAAACCAACTTTTCTTTTTAACTTTTTTCTGTTTTCTTCAGCTTTCTTTGACATCATAATAAAATGGAACAGAAAGAGCATATAAAAAGAAAACCATTAGGTAGAATTTTTAACAGCTTCAATTTACCTACCACAGTTAATACTTCCAAGACTACTGTGCCATGGAGCATCAAATGCATCGCACCCAAAGGTGTGCGATCACTAGCCACCTGAAAGCTTGAGGACCAGACAGATGCACGTCAGGGACAGAGGGGCAGCTGGTGGCCCAGCTCCACAAACCCTCCAGGCCCCGCCCTCCCCTAAGCCCAATGACGTGGACAGGGTGGCTGGAGGACAGGCCCAGAACAGCGGCATTGCTGCCACTCAAAGTCACAGGCTGCCTGAAGGTCACAGCGACGCCCACAGGACAAGGAGGATCTTCAGACGGAGGGAGGACGGAGTTAGGAAGGGGGGTGGTCCTCCCCTCGGATGCTTCGATACTTGGCCATGTCTTCGGGAAACACTTTAGAAAGTTCTTGAATCAACAGGCTTTTAAATTTCTAAGAAGAAAAGAAATACTGTCAAAATATCTTTTTGACCCATCACCCATGCTAAAGATGACCCCCGCCCCCAGAGCCTCCAAGTCAGAACAGGGAAATTGGGCTTTCCCTTTCCGCAAGCAAGCGGGGTCCTCCGTGCCTGCTCGTCTCCCAGGGATGGATTCTCGGCAAAGCGGTTCAATAAATGCCTGCAACTCCGTCACAGGTACAGCCAGAACCGCCTGAGAGAGGAACACACATGCAAGCACAACTGCTGCCCCCGAGCTTCAAATTAAAAATGCCCCTCTTATAAGGAGCCAGCCACCCAGGTAGAAACAGTTTTTGTAGACAGCACACGTAAGTAACAGAAACCTTCAAATATGATTTAATTAAGCAATTATTAACTCGAACCACATCACACTCACTGTGTGCAAACAGCTCCATCAAAGCTTTCAGAGTACCTGGAAACCTGTCTCCTCCAAACGCCATGGCTTCTTGATCCGACTTATCAGCATCAGCTTTGTTTTAATCCAATCTCAAAAAAGCGGCTAAATACCGCCAGCATCTCAAAACCTTTGCTTACCAGCTATATAAAAAGCAGCACTGTGGGTTTGAGCATAAAGATATACTTACAGAAGCTAAAGCACACTCTCAAAGGAGAGCTGCAGCCCTGCATTACAGGAAATATTTAAGATATAACTTTGGAAATTCAAATACACAGCCCACGGGGCAGACAAGCGCGACGGAACTGTGGCATAAGATTTCACAGATCTTAGATGAGAGAAATGACCGAGCAGCAACAGAAGCAAACTGAAGATGACCGCACGGTTGCTGACATTACTGCCAACAGGAAACCTCTGCGCCGCCCAAGGCTCTGGAGGCCAAGAGAAGGGGGACAGACGGGAGCACATCAAGCACAAACCACGCCCCTGTCCACAGAGCGGGGGATTTCTGCCGGACAGTACAACTCGCTCACAGAGCACTCAAAACAATCACGGCTTGCTATTGATTAAATGCTGTGTTATGTCCTAAGGGTGACGCTGAGTTCACCAGTAACTCAATCCCAAACTCACAAACCAGAAATGAAGCCGTGGCCACACACCAATTGCAGCAACAGCCACTTCCAGGACCCGCTCAGTGCAATCACCTGGGAGGGACGCCCGGAAGCCCTACATCCCCAGGGCAGCATGTGACTGGCACATCACTGTCGTTCTGACAGAGCCTCTCCCCTCACTCCTTGCACTCGGCCAGAGCACCCTAAGAGGTCACTGTGTGGCCATCCCTGCACACATCAGACAGTGACTGGGCACACCTGTGGGTGCTGGGCATCAGAAGGCACAGACACTCATGCCCCCTGAGATCTGGGAGCTTCAGCTGCAGTGGAGGGGAGAGAACAAATAGAAAAAAGCGAATCCTCATCAGTGCTCTCCAGAAAGCAGCTTAGGAAAGGCTTGTCCTCGAGGCCTCCTTGAGGAGGTGAGATCCACGGACCCCAAAGCGTTGTCAGTGTGCATGTGCAGAGAGAGGAAACAGCATGGGGAAAACAGGGAGAGGGGTTTGGTAAATTCCAGAAATGGAAACAAGGCCAGGGTGGGCTCTGGTATGAAGAAGAGGGGCAGAGGGGCAGGAAAGCTCCTTGCACGAGGCCAACAGAAGTGGGAGGCCGTTAAAGGGATGGGACCAGCCAGTTAAGGGAAAACCACACACACTCCAATCTGAGCCATATTTGAATTAATTTAAGTAAGAAAAAAGACTGCAGACAGTCCCAGACTTACAATGGGTCAACTTACAATTTTTGAACACTACGATGGTGCGAAAGCAAAATGGATTCAGTAGAAAGCACACTTTGAATTTTCAATTTTGATCTTCCCCAGGCTAGTGATATGTGGTGTGATCCTCCTTGGTGACGCTGCAGTGTCGGCGCGCACAGCTCCCAGTCAGCCCCACCATCGCCAGGTGAACGACTGACCCACTGACAGCCATTCTGTACCCAGACAACCACTCTGTTTCTCACTTTCGGTACAGTATTCAATACATCACATCAGACGCTCAACACTTCATTATAAAACAGGCTTGGTGGGAGACGATTTCACCCGACTGTAGGGTAATGTTCCGAGCACGTTAAGGTGGGCTGGGCTAAGCTCGGAGGTTCGGTAGGTTAGGTGTATTAAATGCATTTTTGACTTACACTATTTTCAACAATGGGTTTATTGGGACGTAACCTCATCGTTAAGTTGAGGAAGATCTGTACATATTTCATGTTCAAGATGCATAGAGTTTTTTAGATCTCATCAAAGTAAAGAAACACAAAGAGTGAGTTCTCTGCGGAGAACTGCGTGACTGGGATACGGTACGCAGGAGACGGGAGTCAGAAGCTGCAGACACCACTGGAGAAAGAGAAGAGAATAAAGACTCAAGAATCCTCCAAACCAAAGAACCATAACTTCAGGAAAAGCCCTAACAGGAGGAATCAGAAAGCATCAAAGAGCAAATGGAAGATACTCAAGTCTTAAAAATGAGAACAATCACAGATAGACAATGACACCTAACGATCACGAAAATTAACCTGGGCTGTCGTCAAAGCAAGGCTAGCACTTTGTTACATTTTTTATGCTACCACATGGCTCACAGATATTTAACTTTACTACCTATTACGCAATTCACAAATCTCCACTATGTAATGTTACGAAATAGTTGATGTTTTACCAAATTTGCTTTGTATTTCCTCATGTTCTGACATTCTTCTCTGTTTATGAGAGCCTTACCTTCATTGTGTCAATCTTGCCTTTAACTTGCTCATTTTTAGCCAAAGCCCTCTCCAGGCACTCTTTGGTGTAGAGTTGGGGGTTTCGACCTTGATCTATATATCTGGAAACATGAAACATCTCAATTAACATTTGCATGGGTAACACCTATTCTCAGTTTTCTTATGGAAAAAAAAAACGTTAGCTATTATACAACTTCACATGGCCCTGTTAAGACAAAACTGTGTCAGAACCAAGTGAATCAGGATTCCCTCATTTACATAAATATACATAATTTGATCTCATATTACTTCTAATAATATGAATAACTCATGAAATCACGTAATGATCACTGACAAACCAAGCAAGCTTCACAGCTATGCTACTTCACATTTTTAGCGTTTGTGCTTTTAAAAGCCTTCATGGCCATTACCGTTTAATCCCCAATGCAACCTGCAAGGTCAGGCAGCTCCTGACAAGATAGAACTAAGCGTGGGCTGGGGCTTCAGGCCTGGGCAACATGCAGGAGCCCACCAGGAGGCAGCCTCCGCTCCAGGTCTGCCCCCTCGCTTGGGAAACTCTTTGTGGAGGAGCCTCAGGCTGCTGGAGGGGCAGGGGGCGCTGCGAGCAGGAGGGCCCACCACTGCCTGCCCCAAGATTATTTTACAAACCAGGGAGAGACCCTGATACAAAACTGTACTACACATAGCTAAGTAACTTTAACAGAGAGAGATCCTCCCCCACTATTTCTAAACACTATAAAACTGCTTGTTGACATTTTCAACACTTGCCCCCAAAATGTCTCCATCATCCCAAAGATTTCATTAAGCCTATTGCCTAGATGAATACCCACACTTTACCAAGGGTAGGCCATCTGCCTACTTCTGTACCGAGGACCTAAATCGAATTATTACAAAGAAATGAAAACTACCAGCACCACCCTAAGTCCCATTAATTTTTTTTTACTGAAGCAGAGAATACAGCCACTTCAAATGAAAGACACTTTTAAGTTACTGTTAATGGCATAAAAACTGGCCTTTATGACAGCAAAAAATTAATAAATTGCAAGTTCTAGAAATTCCATTTTATTGCAATGTTTTTGAAATGATGGAATGAAAGAAGCAAAATTATGATTAATTGTAAAAAAAATCCATCCGTTTCTGGGAAAAAAAAAAAACCCTGACAGGCTCAAGTATCCCAAATAAACAACAGCTTCAACAGCAACATCACATGGATTGACTCTTCCTCTAAGACCAAGAGTGGAATCCCACTTCTGCCAACACACCGACCCCAAGGACCGGATAGAAAGGCCAAGGTTTACATTTTTATTGCTACAGATAGTGTGTCTGAGCCGTGTGCTGCAAAGCCCACTGTGGACTTGGAAATTCCTCCCACATGGTGCACAAACCCACTGACAGTTCATAAATAAAGCTGCAGCATCTGCTGCTCATTAGAGTTGTGGAGCCAGCTCATTCCTGGTACCCCACAGGAATCCTGATTCTCCCTTCTGCCCATCGCTGGCTCTGGTGGCCAAGGCTTCGGTGCCCCATCCTTAGGTAATCTCTTCCCACCCATCTTACGTAACTTGCCCCACTTCTAAAGGCTTGAGTAGTTACTTGGCATCTGCCAATATATCCATCCATACATTCCCAACCAGAGCAGCATGATGAGGACACTGACGAAGGCAGATTAGCCTCCACGTTCCTGCATTTCGCAAGCAGGCAGCCATCGTCCAGGAGCCTTATAACTCGCCCAAGACCTTTCCTCCCACCTGAGGCCAGAGAACTCAGTGGGGCTGACTGAGAACAGGCAGAACATGACACCGTGGCCAGCAGGTGAGGACAGGGGCGACCCCTAAAACCGGAGTCTCTGTGTCCTGTGCACAGCTGCTGGGCTGGGCTGTAACCAGGACTGGGATCTCTGACCTTTCCAGATGGAAACGACAATAACTTTTCCTTGTACTGTTCAAAGAAATCTAGTGATTTACATTTTCAGTTTTACTGCAAAAAAGTACTAGAATTCCCTTGCTGTGCCAAGCCAGCAGCTCTAGAAGAGAGAGGCTGCTAGGCACAGGGAAATGGGCCCTGGTCAAGGAGGACAAGTCCAGGATTTTAGTCTCAACTCTGCCAGTGACGAGCTCAATAACCCACTGCGGTTACTCATCAGTTCCTCACCTGTGAAGTCAAAGTGTGATACAACCTGGATTGACAAAACACTAAGTCTATTTTCTGGAGGCGTTGTCTGGGCCGCGACGACGACAGATGCACATAACTGCCCCCGTGCAAAACAGTGAACAGCCTCCCCAACTCACCTGGCCTAGGAAGAATCTTTTTTTTTCCCCAACAGAGCAGACAGTATCATCTCCCAGACCCAGCACGGCCAGGGCAGCTGGGGAGACACCAGAGCAGAGGACTTCTCAGGTGGTTTCTGGCTGTAACCATTTTTTTTTTTTTAATTTATAATACAGCCCACGTAAGACTTTTTAGTTGTCAAGAAAAAAATAAGCTATGTGGCTGTCCTTTTGTCTAAGCAGGACTTTGAGGGCCTATGATGTTTTTCACATATTTAATAAGCCTTTATTCATATCTAGCTCTTTGTCAACAAAACAATACTGAGGGGTGTTTGTTTTAAACTTTTTAATCTCATTAGACATCAGCTCCACAAGAGCCAGTATTTTTGTTGTTTTCTTCACTGGTATATGCCCAGCACCTAGGCTGTGCCTGCCACATAGCAGACACTTAAATACTGAGGGTTGAGGGGGTCATTATACCACAACTAAACAAGAATTATACCCAAATGAAGACCAAGAATGGTACTTACTCAAAAACTTCTAAAGGTACAGTAATATCATGAAGTTGCTGTCTGCACTTATCAATATCCTGTAAGCCCGTAACGATAAAATTCCTGGAGGAAAAAGCAAAAACGAGAGTAATGGTTAATTCAGAGGACATTAGTGCCACTCACCTGGCCAATCAGAGCTCCACACAGGCGCTCCTTACACGTGCAGAGATAACACATGTTCTTGGGTTAGCTACAGAATTCCTAAGAAAGCTCTGGAGTTACAGAATACCCTCAGATATTTGTTGATTTTCTTCACCAATATTGGGGGGACGGAGAGCAAACCCTTTGGGAATCTGATGAAAAATATCAACCTTCTCCCCCCAAAAATTACCCTGATGTGCATGGGATTTTGTGTGCGGTTTCTGAGGACACACGGAGCAGTGGACTCCAGCTCAGGAACCCATCCTCAGTCTACGGGGAAGAAAGCCATCACTGCCTGGCTTAACTTCAGCTCCCCTCGGAGCCTTCCTACATCACCTGGCTAGTCTCACGGCACTGGGTATGTAATTATGGTCGTATGTCTGTGCTATACAGCTTGTGAGCCCTTCTCCAGAGCATTCTATCTGTGTGTTTGCCTTTTGTCCATCCCAGGGCCTAGCACCATGGCCACCACAGGCTGCTGCCAAAAAAGAAGAATTAATAAGCGTTCTGTGGCCTTTGTCATCGCCACCCTCCCCCAATTCCTTCACATTCAGGCCATCGGAGCCGGTGGTTTCAGCGCCCTCGCCTTCCCGGGCCACTTCAGTGCACTCCCGGGGAAGCCCGCCTCCCCTCTAGGCACAGGGGCTGAACTCCCCAGAAGGCTCAGGAGGAAACGCAGGGAGGGGGTCACAGGAGCGCGGGGAGAGGCTTACATTATGAAGCAGGACTCTCCCTGATGCGGCCCCAGAAACGGAAACTGTATTGTCTGCCCATGATAACGTCTCCAACTGCGCCCTCAAGAAAAGGTCCCAGCAAGACAAAGCGGGAAGGAGGCAGGCGGGCAACAGGCGGCAGCTGCGAGCCCGCCCTCAGAGCGCAGCCTGGAGGTGGGAGGGGTCCGGGGGGACCAGGCCCAGAGGAGGCGGCGGAGAGGCTGCGGCTCTCGGCCCGGCCCTGACTCCCCATCCCGGCTCCTGATCTCGACTCCCTCAATCCCAGCTCCCCCATCCCAGCTCCCCTGCAGACGCTGCCCAGCCCACCCGGGGAGACGCCGGCGCACTCCGGCAGCCACTCACAGCTTCTGGTTAAGCCCGGCCTGACTGCTGGGCTGGAAGTCGCTGACGATGATGCCGAGCTGCCGGATGTTCTCCACGAACTTCTCCAGGTGCTCCTCCAGGTGGTCGAACTTCTCCGCCATGACCCCACAGCCACACCGCCGCGGGCGTGATCCCGGTCCGCCGCTTCCTGCTTCCGCCCGGGCCCGCCACGACTTCCGTTTCCTCTGGGGCGGGAGGGGCGGGGCCTGGATGGTGGGGCGGGGGAGCTCAAGGGCGGGGCCTGAGCGATGGGGGCGGGGGGACCGTCGGGGGCGTGGCCCGGACCCTGGAGCGGCGCCTGGGGGCGGAGCCTAGCTCGAGGGCGGGGCTTGAGCGCAGGGCGGGGCTGGCGTCAGCTCGGGACCGGCCAGGTATTGGTCGCAGGACTCCCCTGCTTGCTCTCAGGGCGACAAAGAGCCAGCGGTGGGGACCTGCGAGACCCAGCTCTGCCTCCACTGGCCCTGGGCAATTTTCCTAGCTCCAAGCCTCTGTTCTCGTCCGTAAAATCGAGATAGAAAGACCTGGAAGCTACCTGAGGTTAGAGGAGACAATGCTGGTTAAGGGGCAAGCGCAGCAGGCCATCCTTGAAAAGAGTACCTTGTCTCCACGATGAAAAGGACTTTTTTTTCCTGTATATACAAATTACAGGTACTAGTTGTAAATAATTAAAACAGTACAGGAAAGGATATAATGAAGAAGGGAAAAAGACACCTAAAATCCCGCCCCTCAACATAAGCTATCTTTAAGATCTTGGAGACCATCCATTTCTGCATTTTTCACTCACAGGTATAACCGCCTGAGGGAAAAGGGCTTGCTCAGCTTCTCATTCCTGCACTGGCCCACTGCTGTGCAGGGTCCAGTGGGCCCCCCGCCTGCTCCTCCGAAGGCTGGCCTCTGCCTCAGCCAGGCCCTCTTGGAGCCACCCAGCATTTGCTGCTACTCTGAAAAGCAGCTCAGGCTGGGCTTCAGACCCGTGACTTTCCCAGCAGTGATTTGCCATCCCCAAATGAATGAATTACCAGCCAGGACAACTCACAAGGACTTAAGGCCCCATGTCACAATTGAGGCCTTCTAAAGATCTCAGTCCCCTCCAGGCTCCATACAATGCAGCATCTTCAAAAGTACCCACCTAGATGAAAATGCCAAAGTTTGCCTGAAGGATCCCATAAAGTCAGTCTCCCTGCCCCTTAGCTGGAATCCTTGAGGTCAGCACTGGCCTCCTTTCTTTCCTCTCGTATGTAATTAGCACTCACCTCCTCTAACCCGTGCTTCTATCCATCTCCCATTCAGCTTTTCCTCCCCTAATTCCTGCCACCTTCCTAGATCAGGCCCTCAGCCCCTTGTACCAACACTAATAAAACAGCGCCCCATGGGGTTTCCCTGTCTGTGAAGAGTAACCTCTCCTCCTTCACAGAGCTTTTAGTAAACTGCTGTTCATTGATCTTATTAAAATTCCATTCTGATCACATCACTCTTATGCTTGAGAAACTTTCTGCCCATTCTTCTAGGACTAACCCATGTTTGTTTCTACAATAGCCTGTCTGGATTCTTCAAGCCACAGTGATTTTTTTCTTTTACCAAATATGATAATATTCATCGCCTGTACTTTTCATTTCCCAGAGTCTTAGGCAAAATAAGGAAGCTCCTTGTTGAGATGCTCTCCAAAGCCGCTCCCAGCTGTGATCAGAAATGAAAACCCAGAGAAGTGATTTGTCAGACTTACTGAATCGGGGACTCCAATGGATGTGGTGGACTGAACTGCATGAGAAGCCTCTGTTCCCACTCTGAATACACAGAAATGTTAGGGAAAATACCTCCCTCCGGATTTAACAGCAATTAATTTCAGGGGAATTTTAAATCAGGGCGGAAATAAAATACTTGACAAAAGAAAAAAAGGTGACTAGGGAGAGGTCAGTATATGGAGTTAACAGTCCTCAATTTCATAAGAGAGAAATACATATTGGTGGAAATTAGCCTTTCTTAAGTATTTACTTCAAAATTTTAAGGAGACTTGTTTATTAGAATATATAATTCCAAACTAGTAGAGCGGGGAAGCGAGTAAGAAAAACACAACCAGGGGCTGGCCCCGTGGCCAAGTGGTTAAGTTCTTGTGCTCTGCTTTGTTGGCCCAGGGTTTCACTGGCTTGGATCCTGAGCATGGACACAGCACTGCTCGTCAGGCCATGCTGAGGCGGAGTCCCACACAGCACAAACAGAGGCACTCACAACTAGAATATACAACTATGTACTGGGGGGCTTTAGGGAGAAGAAGAAAAGAAGAATTGACAACAGATGTTAGCTCAGGTGCCAATCTTTAAAAAATAAAACACACAATCAATCCAATAGAAGGCAGGAAAAAGAGAGAAGAAGTGAAGCAAAGAACAAGCATGGAAAATAAAAACAAAATAGTGAAAAGATTAAAGAGAAATGTGTTAGTGATCACAGTAAATGTAAACAGACTTACCCATTTGCCTAAAAGAGAGATTCTCAGAGATTGAAAGTATTCTGTTTTGTTGTTGTTGTTTTAGTCTAGAATGTGGTTTTTCAAAGGCACACCACAAACAGACATACAGACAGGTTGAGATAAAGGGATAGGATAGAACAAGATATGTCAGGCAACAAAATGAAGTTGTTAAAGCAGATAAAGTTAAAAATAAATAGAAATGTAAGAAGACTTTTTTAACAATAAGGGGAAAACTCCACCAAGATGATATACTAGTATTAACTTACAAGCAGCTAACAACATAGTCCTATGCTAACTAACAGAAAAATTGACAAATTATGAGGAAAAATTCAAAATCCATAATCATACCAGGAGATTTGGACTTCCTCTATCAGAAAACAGTAAATCAAGTGGACGGAAAAATAGATAAAGAATATGGAAGACTTGAATAATATGGTTAATTAGTGTGATCTGTGAGAAACAGTGAAGTCTGAAGAACAGATTGTTGCAAAGCACATAGGGAGTATTTAGAAAAATTTGACCATTCACTCAACTACAAAGTAAGTTTCAGCAAATTCGAGAGTCTATCATGTGGACCACATTTTCTGAGCTCAATGTAATTACAGCAGAAATCAATGAAGTTATTCACTTTTTGCACACACACACTTGAAAACTCAAACAGACTCTTTGAAATAATTAATGGATGTACATACATCTGAATTAGAATGGGCAAGACCCAATTGATGTCTGTCATCTTGGGGTAAGTATTAATAGCATTCTCTTTCATTCACTACCCAAAGGGTCTCAATTTGGTTGATACATTACATGGTGAGCCTAGTTAAAGGGGAAATTGTAAAATATTTGGAACTAAATGGTAAGCACTTCTTATCAAACTTCTGCTTTGCTTCTAAAGTGATGCTTTGAGGGGAAAATAGCCTGGAAATAATAAGCTAGGATTTCAACTGAAAAAGTGAAAAAAAAAAAACAGAGAGAAATCACAAGCACAAAGAAATATATAGAAAGGAGTGATAAAGACAGATAGTGATGAAAATGAAAACTATTTTACTGGTTTTCTTTCTACTTTCATTAGAAGCTAGAAAGATGAACAGTAAACAGAAACTGATTGTTGAAAAGATGAATCAAATAGACATCTTTTGGCAAGTCCCATTGGGGAACAGAGAGAGTAAAAGAATAAACAACATTATAAATGAATGTGGGAACATAATTCAGTTACAGTGACACTTGCATGTTCATATTTTGAAAACTTGGAGGATGTGGACAATTTTCTAGAAAACTACCAAAAGGTTAACTTAAGAAGTAATAGGAAATCAGAATAGATCTTAACCTTTCAATAAACTGGCCAGTAGACAAAACTCTCAAAGAAATGAAAAACATCAAGCTCTGACAGCTTTTTACATTAGTTTAGTTTTTTTAATCAAACATCAAAGAAAAAATAATTTCGAACTTACCTAGACACTTTCAGAGACTAGAAAAAGAAAAAACACACCCCAGCTTGTTTTTAAAGTGCTGTATAACTTTGATATTAAAATAAGACAACAAAGACAGTGCAAAAAAAAGAAAAGAAAATATAGGCCAGTCTTCCTTCTGAAAGTGGATGCAAAAATCCTAAATAAAACATCAGCAAACTGAATCAATTATCATGTACCAGCTACCTATTGCTGCATAACAAAACTCCCCAAAACTAAGTCGCTTAAAACAACTACTGTCCTCCATTTTGCTCACAAATCTGCGGAGCGGGCTGTGCATGACATTCACAGCTCGCCTCCGCTCCATGTCACGTCGGCTAGGGTGGCTTGACTGGGACTAGAGGATGTGCTTTCAATATGACACACTCACATGGTCATTATGTTGGCAGTGGATGCCAACTGGACTGAAGGCTGGAGACCATGGTTCCCCTCCATGTGAGTGTCTCTGCAGGCTTTCGGGGCTCCCTCACTTCCTGGTGGCTGGGTTCCAGGAGCACATCGCTCAAGAGAAGCAGGCAGAAGCTGTGCTACCCTTTATGACCTAGCTTCCACAGTCCCATCACGTCACTTCCACCATAGCTATGGCACATTTAGATTCCCAGGAGGGAACATAAACCCAACCCAACAGAAGAAGTAAGTAGTCACATTGTTGGAAGAGCAGGTGAAATGGGAGGTCTTGTTAAAGCCATTTTTGGAAAATACAACCGTCACACATCACATTGAAAAAAAGAATGATCTATTGGGCTTTTCCTAGGACTGCATGAATGGTTAAGTATCATCAAATCTATCGTATAACTAAGTCCATTAAGATTAAAGGAGAAAAACACCTCAAGTAGACTTAAAAGAACAGACATTTGATAAATCCAACCTCATTAATGATGATTTTTTTAAAGAAGTCTCTGAGAAAACTAAGAATAGAAATTTCCTAAACTTAATAAAAGATAGCTACTAAAAACTTACAGAAGGTGTCAGACTTAATAATGAAACTTTAGAGATATTTTCACTGAAGTCATGAACACAGCCAGAACTGTGACCCTGACTATTTGTCTTGTACTGGAGAACCCAGCCGCATGGAGACAGTCCGGGAAGTAGCCCTAGGCTGTTATTCGGGTCCTCCCTATTGTCCCCCTTTATTGACATGGAGCCTCTATTTGCCTCCTGACTTGTCATTAGAATTCCTGGGTATTTTATACTTTATCTTCCGAGCTATATTTTAGGCATTTTGAAGACAGGAATCTAACCT